CCCAGTGCCTTGCCCCCCATCAGAAAACTTATGAACCAGAGGCTTGGGACCTTTAGTTGTTGCTAGACTTATTTAGAGTCTCAAAGTATGGGGCCTCTTTCTTTTTTAACAGAGGAAATTTTTCCTCAAACTGAAATAAGGTAATGTCACTATAAGTTACAACAGCAAATTAAAAAAAAAAAGAATTTCCTCATCAGACTTCTGACCTGGTTTTATTATAAGCTGTTAAATTTAAGTCATAAAGCACTCTTAACAGTTGCCTATTTTTATCTGACAGTGCCCATGTTACTTCACTGAAGAAACATACAAGGTGATGATATTTGTCTAGTTCTAGGACTTAGTATATTTAGCTTGGCTGAATAACTTCAATTTTTTTCCTTTAACCAATAAGCAGAAGCCATTGCAGCAGCCTTCATAAGCTAAAATATTGCTCTGTGTAGACTGTCTGTTCAAAACATTAGTAGCTTATGTTTTGAATTTACACCCTTAATGTGTGCTGAATATTTAGATTATATTGTATATGATAACAAAATAAACTCTGCTTAAAGTCTTTCTTGAATTATTTTCCCTCATCTGGTTTTTTTCTGCATTTACTTATACCTAGCATCTTTCTTGTTGTGCTATATTCAGTATATCTAACTTCACAGCTTTGCTTTTATTTGTATTTGACACGAGGCAGGTTTGAGGTGTTCTGTATTTTATAATAATCATGCAGTGTTTTAAAGCATCGGGATGAAAAGTAAAGGTTATAAAGTGAAATTATTAGGAAAGTACCAAAAAGATGAATCAATTCAAATTGCACAAGTAATAATGTGCTAATTGGAAGATCAACATATCTTTATCAGAAACCAAAATGTATCCTCTTTTCAAAATTATCTTCCTCTTTTTTTCTAGTTTATTCACTCATTGGCAAAAGTGATTTCATAGTTAGTATATTGTAAATCGTAAAATGCTGCTAGATTTAGTAGTCTGTAAAGTTTCATTTGGTCACTTGGAGATTTTTAGAATTCTTATGTTTAGAATTTCATATTATTTTTCTTTCTCCCTTCCCTCCTTTTAAGAGTATTTTCTATGTAGGCTACTTCTGGATTATTATATACATTTATTCTTTCCATAAATATTTGTTCACTCTAGGATGTCAGCTGGATATTTTGGGGTTTATAGAGATAACCACTGTCTCTGCCTTCAAGAAAATTTCCCTGACTTAAGTAGATGAGAGATAAATCTATATACAAATACTGTAACAATAATACAAGTGGAGAGTGTGTGTAATGGTAAGTGGGAATAAAGGAATTTACAGGAAGAAAGAGGTTCTGATCTGCCAAGTGCTGAAGTGGTCAATTAGGACACGGAGCCAAACTGAAAGTAACAATCAAGCCTTTTATTCACTGAATATAATCCTGTAAACAAGAGGCCACAAAGGAAAGGCTGCTAGCTCCCCAGTGTTCCATTTTTCCTAACAGAATGAGGTGAGGGTCAGGTAAATCAGAGCAGATCATAGATGGTGGATATCATCTATCTTCTAAGAAAGCCCCAAACAAATGGCTCATCCTGTTGTTAATGGACCTGAGGCCAAGAAGATGGAAGAATGGGAAAGGTTAGACATAGAAAAGTATTGAGACAGAGGGGAGAAAAGTGACATTACACCCTCATCCCTGCCCCCTTCTTGTAGGTCCCTGCAGAGGCAGTGGAAAGGGTCTCTGCTGAGGATCCCCACCAATTAGGGGATCTCTGAATAGAGGTGCCTAAGCTAGGAATGCAGATATGCATATGAGTAGGGATAGGGGCAGGGGATTGCAACTCCTGCAGAAATTGCAGTGAACTGGGTAGTGCTCTCTAGGGGTGAAAGGGCTAGAAAAGCAAATTGGGACCAAATCAAGAACCTGAAATGCCAAACTGAGTTGTGTGTAGACAGTAAGGAAGTACTGGAAAATTTTGAAGTAGGAGAATCACAGTTACATTTATCTGGTAACAGTGAACAAAGTGAATTGGGTAGCAAAGAGATCATTCAGAAGCTGGTAAAACAATCCAGAGCAGAGGTAACAAAGAGCCTTAATTCAGATAGTTAAAGAGATGGGGGGGCATGTTTAACATTAATAGCTGTTGTACTTCGTGCAAAAATGTACTTTGGGTCAGAAGTCTGGAATGCTGTGGTGGCAGAGTTCTTATTTAACTTTTCTCTGAAATTTAAACTGCCATTCTCAGTAGTTACGTCTGTTTTTCTTTTTCCATGCCTTCATTTCTTTACTACTGGTAAGTTATAAATTCTTTGTTTTTAAATGCAGTGATTCAGTATTATTGAAATTTTAAACATCTTTGGGATTTGATTTATTTTAAGTTGTTGAGAGTTAGTGAAAGGTCTAATACTGTCCAGTTTACCATACAATGTAATTTGATGTAAGGGAGGTCAGGTTGGATCTTGTCCATTCTAGTAGGAGAAATGCTTTTTAATACTTGACATTATCCTGTGCGTGGATTTGGGCAATTGCTGTTTCACTTTTTTTTTTAAATATATTTTATTGATTTTTTACAGAGAAGAAGGGAGAGGGATAGAGTTAGAAACATCGATGAGAGAGAAACATCGATCAGCTGCCTCCCGCACACCTCCTACTGGGGATGTGCCCGCAACCAAGGTACATGCCCTTGACCGGAATCGAACCTGGGACCTTTCAGTCCGAAGGCCAACGCTCTATCCACTGAGCCAAACCGGCTAGGGCACTGTTTCACTTTTTAAGAAGAAAAGATCCAGAACAAGAATATATACTTCTTTAGTTTTTATTGTAATATGCTTATTTTTGCTTCTATTTAAATTTAACTGCAAGAAATGTAAACTATAAAAACTCATCTTGAGTTCTTTTTCCCCCCTTTGTATCTGATTTCATTTTGGCATTGTTTCTTATTTCAACTGTGTATTCTTTGTGTAAGCCTTGCTCAGTCTGCATGATATTAGTGTTTTTGGCTTGCTTTGTGTTGATGACTTCTTATACGTGAGTGTTTATCATTGACAACGCTTTGTAATAATTCATGTAAAATTAAATGGTGCTATTTGTGCAACATAATTTTTAAAACTTTCCAAAGGTTCCTTTCGTAATTTGTAATTTTAGTTTATGAACCATTTACATCGACTATATGCTTTTCTTTTTGTTCCTCTTTATGTAGAAGTGGGACACCATCCCCCAAACGGACATCTGTAGGCTCCAGGCCACCTGCAGTAAGAGGCAGCAGAGATCGTTTTACTGGGGAATCATACACAGTGCTGGGTAGGGTAAATACAGTTCTTCGTTATCTTATAGTAAAGGCCTCACAGTCATACTGGTGGACTGTCTACTCACCGAGAGCTGGAGTGATTGCCTCTGGTGAATGAATCTTTGCTGAAGTTTCTCCCTCTTGAAGCCTAATTACTTTGACAGGTTTTCAAATTGTCTTATTATTGATATGTTTAAAACTTACTTAATTTTACATAGTACTGCACATATAGGTATAACTCTTAAGGGGATAGTAAGAAGGAAAAGTTCTGAAGCTTTTTATATTCAGAAAAATTAGTTAATAAGAAATATATAAGTAAAATGTTAACATCCTGAATCAGATTTTTGTGCCATTTTATGGGACAAGAGATAGGTACAAATCTCTGTGACTCACAAGGAAGAGGTAAAAGTCACATTTGCCTTCTGGTCTTTTGCAGGAGACACTGCTATTGAAAGCGGACAACATTATTGGGAGGTCAAGGCCCAGAAGGATTGTAAATCCTATAGTGTGGGAGTAGCATACAAGACTTTGGGGAAATTTGACCAATTAGGAAAAACAAACACTAGTTGGTGTATTCATGTCAACAACTGGCTACAAAACACATTTGCAGCAAAGCATAATAACAAAGTCAAAGCCTTGGATGTTACTGTTCCTGAGAGAATAGGTGTATTCTGTGATTTTGATGGGGGTAAGTTTACTGATTTTCTCACAATTCATTTCACCATAGTTGCTTATATTTCAGTACTTTTCACTGGTAATCATCTATAGAGAATTTCCATTAACATTGTGGTAAGGATATTTTGACCTCTCAGGATTTATTTGATCATAAGCATAATTTCAGCTCCAGAATTATCTGGAAAGGTGTGTGATGTCTGCCTGCAGCCCTACAGAAGCACTCGTCTATAATATACTAATTTAGTCTGAAAGGAAAAATTTGCTAATTTTAGTCTTAAAGCTAAACTTTATTTTGTCCATTTTAATTCCTTCTTACCTTGTTTTATTACCTATGAAGAGTGGTGGAGTCAGATTTTTCTAGTTGGGGTAGACCTTAGTAATTACCCAATATATCTACTAAACAGTGTAAAATCCTTTTTACAATATCTCTGCAAGCAATTTCCACTTCTGTGCTTGATGAACCTTCTTATGTGAAGTTTATGTCTTAGAAGGCAGCCTCTTTCATTGTTAGATAGCACTTGGTTAGAAGGTTTTACTTAAATTGACTCGCTTTGTCTTCTAATAACTTCTGAGACTGTTGCTCTTAAATTTTGTCATCTTAAGAAATACAGAATTATGTTCCCTAATTCACATTTACAAGATAATCCTTATTTACTTAAAAACTATTAATACTGCTGCTTTTGCCCTGTTTTTCCCAGATTATACATTCTCTGACCATTAACCATTCTTCTTATTTAATTTTTTCAAACCCTAATTGCCTATGGCTGTATATTAAATTAATACATTTCTTTTAAAGATTGATTCTCAAAGTAGTACACACAACTTCTGGCCATCATAGGGCAGTGATTTGACAGCATAGTTTCTAGCACTATGTCATTTTTGTTTATTTAAAAAAAATTTTCACTGTAGCCGGTTTGGCTCAGTATGAGCCTGCGGACTGAAGGGTCCCAGTTTGATTCTGGTCAAGGTCACATGCGTAGGTTGCCAGCTCAATCCCCAGTGTATGTGCTTGTGTGGGGGGAGGGGGGAGTCATGCAGGAGGCAGCCAATCGATTATTCTCTCTTATCATTGATGTTTCTCTCTCCCTCTCCCTTCCTCTCTGAAATCAATAAAAATATATTTAAAAATTAAAATAAATAAATAATTTTCCCCCAATTACAGTTTACATTAAACATTATTTTGTATCAGTTTCAGATATATAGCATAGTGGCCAGACAGTCACATATCCTACAAAGTGTTCCCCCCAATATTTCCAGTTCCCAACTGGCACCATACACAGTTATTATAACACTAGAGGCCCGTGCATGAAAATTGTGCACTCAGGGGGTCCCTCAGCGCAGCCTGCACTCTCTTGCAGTCTGGGAGCCCTCGGGGGATGTCCAACTAATGGCTTAGGCCTGCTCCCCTAAGCCGTCAGTCGGACATCCTTAGCGCTGCTGAGGCTCCTGCCACTGCTGCTGCGTTCACCGGTCATGAGCCCGACTTCTGGCTGAGTGGGTGCTCCCCCTGTGGGAGCACACTGACCACCAGGGGGCAGCTCCTGCATTGAGCATCTGCCCCCTGGTGGTCAGTGTGTGTCATAGCACTGGTTGTTCCACTGTTCTGTCTATTTGCATATTAAAGTTTTATTATATAGGATTGCCTGGAAAGTGCTTTGTACATAGTAAGCCCTTAATAAGTGTTTGCTGAGTGATTAGTAGGGCCTGAGCAGTGAGGAATCAAGAATGGATTTGCTGTCCTAGCCGGTTTGGCTCCGTGGATAGAGTGTCGGCCTGTGGACTAAAGGGTCCCAGGTTTGATTTCGGCCAGGGGCATATGCCTGGGTTGCGGGCTTGATCCCCAGTGGGGGGCATGCAGGAGGCAGCTGATGGATGATTCTCTTTCATCACTGATGTTTCTATCTCTCTATCCCTCTCCCTTCCTCTCTAAAATTAGTAAAAATATATATTATTAAAAAAAAAGAATGGATTTGCTGCCCTGGCCGAATGTCTCAGTTGGTTAGAGTGTTTTCCTGTACACCAAAAAAAGGTTACGGTTCAAATCCCAGTCAGGTCACATACCTAAGGTTGTGGTTCGATCCCCAGTAGGGGCATGTATGGGAGGTAACCTATCGATGTTTCTTTCTCTCCCTCCCTCCCTCCTTCCCTCTCTCCTTTCTTTCCTCCCTCCCGCTTCTTCACTCTAAAAATCACTTTTAAAAAACATCCTTGGGTGAAGATTAAAACATAACAATAAAAGAAAAAGAATGGATTTGATGGTATGAAGGTAGAATTCATAGAACTTGAAAACTAAATATGGATTGGAGGGATAGACAAAGAAGAGTTGAAGATGACTGAGTTTCCAGCCAGGGTGAACAAGAGGATGATAGTGTTATCAGTAGGAAAGAGAGAGTCCTGGAGAAATATGAGATGCCAGCAGGACAAACTATGGCATGTCTGGCAATATTTAGAAATTCAGTGTTAGAACTCAGAAGAAAAGCAGAGCCGAAGCTAATTATTAGAGACAGCATCACAGAGTGGCTACTGAAGATTGCACAGAACAACTAAACATTCCTGCTTTACTGTTTATCAACTTTGTGACCATCTCAGGCTGCTTAATATTTTGAGGTAAAACACCCAGTGGTTTTTTTGTTTGTTTTGTTATTGATTTCAGAGAGGAAGTGAGAGGGAGAGAGAGAGAAACATCAATGATGAGAGAGAATCATTAATCAGCTGCCTCCTGCATGACCCATACTGGGGATTGAGTCAGTAACCCGGGCATGTGCACTGACCAGGAATTGAACCGTGACCTCCTGGTTCATAGGTTGATGCTCAACCACTGAGCCATGCCTGCTGGGCAGCACTCAGTGTTTTAATAGTAGGATAAATGTTAGTTTCATTTCTTCTCTGGTGGCAGCAGATTCTTAAAAGAGAAAGGAGAGCCTGGACCAGCATCTACATTTAGAATAGGGAAAAAGAGTAGATATCCTCACGGTTAGGGTACAAACCAAGAGCATAGTCATGGATAAGAATTTGAAGAAGTGATATCAGTTGTAAGGAGGCCATCAGATTGGACAGTTAGGTGGTCAAATAGACCATTATTTTAATTGCATGATCATATTGAAAGATAGACTGTGAGAGGATTTTAAAAATCAACAAAGCTGAAGCCATGATAACTACACTATGATTTCAGAGACTGAGGTATGACTATGGCTTCAAGTAGTTAGAAGACCAAGTTTAATAGAGTAAACTTTAAATGGTGATAGGATTTGGGTAGAAACTAGTTATAGTAAAAATGAGGAAGAAATCACCTTAGTTTTTACAGGGGAACCACTTGTTAAATAATGATAAAGAAATAGTTTATAGTTGAATAAGTAGAATGCTGCCAGATTAAGGAAGCACTCTGGAGATCTTGAAAATCAGGGAAACAGAACTGGATTTTGACTTTTTCTTAAGCATGTTTTCTACTGATTTTCAGTAAGAAATTATTAAGTCCAGCCATTATAGTTTGTAGCAAAAACAATTAATGTCAAAATATGCATTTAGTTGCTACTTTTATGCATGATTTATGTGAGCCTTAATTAGATGTTATAATATTTTGTATAATCAGGTTTTTTTTCTTTTCCTTTTAGGTCAACTTTCTTTCTATGATGCAAACTCAAAACAGTTGTTGTATTCCTTTAAGACAAAATTTACTCAGCCAGTACTACCTGGTTTCATGGTGAGTACCTAATTTCTATTTTATTTGGTTTGGCAACTTTAAGAATAACATATTAGGAAGTAGAATATCTTATTTTTTTCTTCATATTCCCCTCCTTTTCACCAATCCACTTCTTAAATCTGTGATTGTCTGTGTATTTTTGTTATATTTTGTTGAAGTAAATGATAATACATAAAAGGACACAAATCATAAGCATGCAGTTTGATGACTCCTCATAGGATTGTGCTCATTTTTGTAACCAGCATCTAGATCAAGAAGTGGAACATTGCCAGAATCTCATAAGCCCCTTTTGCCCATTTGCAGCCCCTACCGCCCTTCTCCACAGAGGTTACTATCTTGAATTTTAATACCAAAAATTTTGCCTCCTTTCCAATTTTATGTAAATAGAATCATACAATATCTTTTGGCTCAACATCATGGTTGTGAAGTTTATCCATGTTATTATATGTGGTGGTAGTTCACTCATTCTCATATAGTTTTCCATTATATGACTATGCCATGTAATTTATCCATTCTAATTTAGTTGGATACTTGGGTAGTTTCCCTTTGGGGTCATTTATAAATAGATCTGCTATGAATATTCTAGTTCATGTCTTTTAGTAATGCATATGTTTTTTATTGGGTATATAACTAGGATTGGGGTAGTTAGATCATATGGTATGTGATCAACTATAGTAGAGTGTTTCAAAGTCACTAGTTATACTGATTTACCATTAGCAGTATTTGAGTTTGAATTCCCCCACGTCTTGAATAACACTTGGTATTGTCCTTTTTTATATTAGTCCTGATAGTCTTACAGTCCTTTTATATTTAAGTCTTTCTAGTTCTTCCATATTACATTGTGATTTTCATTTGCACTTCCTTGCTGTTGAACACCTTTTTATGTGTTTATTGACTATTTGAATATACTCATTTGTGAAATGGTTGTTCAAGTCTTTTGCCTGTATTTCCATTGGGTTTTCTTCCTATTTTTTATTGATTGATTGGAGTTCTTTATACAGTCTGAGTCCTTTGCCAAACATATGTATTATAGATATCTTCTCCACTCTGGCTTTCCTTTTCCCTCTTTTATTAGTGTCTTTTTAACTTTTTAATATATTTTTTAAATTGATTTCAGAGAGGAAGGGAGAGATAGACAGAAGCATCAAGGGTGAGAGAGAATCATTGATTGGCTGCCTCCCGCATTCCCCCCACTGGGGATGGAGCTTGCAACCCTGGCATGTGCTCTGACCAGGCATCAAACCATGACCTCCTGGTTCACATGTCAATGCTTAACAACTGAGTCACACCAGTTAGGCTTAATTTTCTTTTTTAAAGTCAGGTTTATTGAGGTACAATTTATAATAGTGTACAGCTCTATGGGATTTGACAAATGCATACAGTTGTATAACCACCACCATAATTGACATAGAACATTTCATCGCCTTAGAAAATTCCTTCACGCTCCTTTGTAGTAGACATTTCCTGTCACACCCAGCCCTGGCAATCACTAACCAGTTTTTAGTCCCTAAAATTTTGCTTTTTCCAAAATATCATAGAAAGGAGTTGTATGGTTTGTAGACTTTTCCCCCCCATTGTTGGCACTATTACAGATGCTCTCTATTTCCCCCACCTTTACCCACCTCCACCCAGCTCCCACACTTCCCTCCCCAGCCATCACCACACTATTGTCTGTATCCATGGGCTATGCATATATGTTCTTTGGCTAATCTCTTCTCCTTCTTTTATCCATTCCCCCTTCCCTTTGCCCTCTGAGATCTGTCAGTCTGTTCTATGGATCCATGCCTCTGTTTCTATTTTGTTTGTCAGTTTACTTTGTTCATTAAATTCCACATATAAGTAAAATCATATGGTATTTGTCTTCCTCTGACTTATTTCACTTAACATAATAATCTCCAGGTGCACCCGTGTACATTTGAAATTCATCTGTGTTGTTGTGTTTGTCAGTAGCCCCATTTAAAAACAAACAAACAAGTTTTTATTGATTTTAGAGAAAGAGGAAAGGAGAGGAATAGAGAGATAGAAACATGGATCGAGTATCTCCTGCACGCCCCCTACTGGGGATCGAGCCCACAAACTGGGCATGTGCCATGACGAGGAATCTAACCAATGACCTCTTGGTTCATGTGTTGACGCTCAACCACTGAGTCACGCCTGCTGGGCTGTAGCCCCTTCTTTTTTATTGCTAAGTAGTATTCCAAATATGTATGTACCACAGTTTTTTCATCCATTCACCAGTTAAAGGACATTTGGATATTCCAGTTTTTGGCAATTCTGAATAAAGGCACTGTAAACATTCACTGCTCTCTGTTCTCAAGCAAAGCAGTTTTATCTTTCATAGACTCATTCATATTTCTGATAATAAATAGAATATGACAAGTGTATGTGGATATTGCTATTTGGATTTTTATTTTTCTCAGAAGTCTTTACAAAATTATAAAAGCGTTATTACTGTTACATTAGGGAAGAAACTAATGGATTTTACTGTTAATGGGAGGGTGTTAGATTCCTATAGTCTCAAGGCACACCTCATCAAAATCTGAAGTAGTTACTGGGATAAGGAAGTTGGCTCTTTGTGCACTTCTCTTAGTTGTGAAAGTTAGCATCAGTAATGATAGCCAATTCCTTCTGCCTAGATTAATCCAGTTTAACCTCTACATTTCTGCAGCCCTTGGGTCCCTGTCTTGTGTGCAGCTCCAGGGGGTTCTGCTACCACAAAGACTCCCTCTGGCTTCTGTGATTCTAAAAGACTCTTGAGTAAGCCTTTTCACTTCCCCTCAGTTCAAATATGAAGGTTATCAATTTATAACTTACTGATGTTCACATATGTGGCATTTTGCCTTTCAGATGGAAATTTAAGGCTCATTTAAATTCTAATTTGATTTGAAATCTGACTGAAGTTTTGTTTCTGTCTTTTCTTAGGTTTGGTGTGGTGGACTTTCTTTGAGTACTGGGATGCAGGTTCCAAGTGCTGTGAGAACACTTCAGAAAAGTGAAAATGGCATGACTGGTTCAGCTAGCAGCCTAAACATTGTTACTCAGTAATGCCTACTCAGAATGCTTCACCCCTCCTTCTGCTTGGGTGGTCTAATCATAGAAACTTATGAGTGGTGGAAATGAGGTTTGCTGCGTTCTGCTTTAAGGCCTGGAATCTGTTAGCATTAAGCATCCAGTACCACGTATTCAAAGGAACCTACTGTGCAATGTCATAGAAGCAAGCAGAGATTGAGCAAGAAACTGATATTTTGAAGAGCAAATGGAGAAAAAGGCAGTATTTAAATAGTTACTTGAATAGAAACTCATCTTTGTGTTTCTTGGATTACCTTGGCTCTTCTAATATATTTAGTTACATATGGTAGCCCTAGGGCCTGAAGAAAAAGCATTTAAATCTTGCCTTCTTTTGTCTTTATTTTTTTCTCTTATCACTGCAAATCATTTAGTTCTTACACTGAAGGTTTTAAAAATATACAGTCCTCTGAGGTTCCCAAAAAAATAAAATTGGTTGGGGATTCTAGACAGGTTTTCTTACAATGATTTGTTTTCCCCCTGTTATAAATAAGTTGAGTTTTGCCAAATTATCCTCTTTTGTTTTATTGACTAAAATATATATAATTTTGTTTTCTAAATGTCATGGTATTTTTCTTGTGGTTATAACTCAGACTAAAGAGTGGGTAGAAAGAGTTTCTAGACATAATAGCTTAAAATCACCCAAATTTCAGTGTTTTACCTGCTGCACTAACAATAGCAAAGGATATTCTTTATATGTTGCCCTATTTAATTAGACTGCTTTTCATTCCATCGTTTTGGATGATGGGTACGATTTTTAAAAGCTTTATATTTTCTGATTTTGCTATCTAGTTTAACACTATCTTTAGTAGTTATCTTTGGTAAAATTCCCACTTGGATTTGGTAATAACTGATAATACTTATACTGATTTTTAACATTTTTAGTAGGAAGAATGTTTATTAAAGTTATATAGAAGGTGGAAAACCTACACTACTCAAATTTTACCTAAGAAAGATAGGCTCTAAAGGGAGGTGCCTAAAACTATTCTTTACTAGTCATTTATATATGCTTTTGATAAGATATGGAATGGTTTATTTTGGGGGAAAAATCTATCTCTGACTTATTTGCCATATAAGTTTTTCAGTCATTACTTAGAAAAAAAATCAACATAGAATAATCTTCCCCAAAGTTAGGAAAAATGTGTTAACAACTAGTAAAACCCATGGTTATTGAGAACATATCTGTTTTTTAAAAGTAGATTAAAATTTATAACACAAATCCTTTGAGCCAAACTGAAAGTTGTAATTACAGTAGTATTTAAGAATTTCTTGAGTGTTTTAAAGAGATCTGAATTGGTATGTTCCTTAATGTTTGGAACATTTTAACATTCATTCTCATTTTAAGTATGTTGTACTATGACAACCTTCTTCCAAGAAGTGACCGACGCTGCTTACATTACAGTTGCTATCCACAGAAAGGCCTGCGGAATAGGAATAGCTCATTCTTTCTTAAATTTTATGGACAGAGGTCATTCATATTTGCACCATTGTCTGATCATATATTTAAAAGTATAAAGACTATGAGGGAGTTTCGAGAATGAAATATATTAATAGATATTCTTTTGATTCTTCAAACAAATATAATTTTGGTTTTTGTTTCTCCAAGATTTCGATAGAAATTTTTGGATGTTCTCTTTCCTATAGCAGGTTATCCAGGACCTGAGGAAACAGGAAGTTATAATTATCTTCCACAGAGTCAAACCTGAAAGCAGTAATTTAGTGGTGGAGCTGCTTTTTGTGAACTGTTATACATGTATATTTTAGCAAAAATGACACAGAAAAAGCCAGAAATTCTTGTATAAAATTGTTTGCTATTATGTCTTATATAAATGTGTCTTCTCTTTAATTCAGTGCCTTCTTCCTCTAAGGATGCTCTTTTTTACTCCATGTCCCATATCCCATTCAGTATCAACTGATATTGAAGCCAGAGGCCATTATGTTAAACTGGTGAGGGCTTCTATTGCAGGGGCATGGGGAAAGGAGATACTAATCAGGGGCTGCTGGAGTGCATATGATTCTTTCCTGTACTCATGCTATCATTTGAAACCCGTCATAGAAAATTCTCTAATTCTCAATTGGAAAATTCACTTGAAGTAATACTATTATTCAAAATAAGAATCTGAGGTTTACTTACCTCTTACTGTGCTTCTTAAAGGTCTCTAAAAGAAAAGAGCAAAATGTGTGGGGTTTTGGTTTAGTTGTTTATAAGTTTATTTGTGTTAAACTGGAGAAAATTTGCCATCTTCATTTTCACACTGGAGTAAAATGAACTATAGTGCCTAATTAAATAGTCTCAAATTAATGTAACTATTTCAACTTAAATATATATATATATATACATATATATATATGTTATTGACATTTAAATTAAAAATATTGAGCTCTTTTGCTCAATTTAATACATTGTGTTTAGTTGGTATACCCTTTCAAACATTCTTTATTGGTTTATTTACTCTTTGTTTTGACAGGTCAAACATGATTGCTTTCTGTAAAAGAAATGCATGAGAGGTTGACAGTAATGGATGTATCACAGGTCTAAAACAATTGTGTTTTATAAAAACATGCTTTTAGTATTATATTTCTCTTTTAGCAGTTGAATCCCAAACCAGTTTTAGTAAATTGGATAAAGAAATGAAGGAATTGCCTTAAGCACTTTAGAAATCTTTTATAATTCATTTTGATGCTTTGGGCTGACCATGTAACATACATCTTTAATTTTTGGTAAATATGTATATACCAAACATTTAATAACTGCACATAGAAATTTAATATACAGTGATTCTTTGAATGTTCCCAGTGTAGGTAAACAAATGGAAAATATTAGAGGCATGCCTGTCTGTACATGGGTTTAATTGATGGCATGTGTACCCTTATGACAAACAGTGAACTGCTGCTGTACAGCTAAACTTGGCCTACTTTGTTCTATAAACAGTTTTTCCCGTGTTATCATCAAAAGAAACATATTGGCTTAGTTTTATTGACTCATTTATGAAATTAAAACATGAACAATATCATGTATCATTTGAATTTTTGTGACTGATCCTTACTGGTGTGAATAATAAAAGCAAATAATTTGTCATGAAATCTTTTAATTAGGCCACGATACTCTATTTCATGACTTACCTGGAATGATTTTTTTCCTATATACTTTTTCCATAAAGTTATCATTATTTATATTGTTTGTTTCTTTCGGAAACATAGGTTAACAATTGGAAAAGGATATTATGAAAAGTGATTACTTCAAAGAGTATTCATTTCAGAAGAGGGAAGTGTAGACTTCTTACTATAAATTATGTGGTTCCAGACTGAAAAATCTAAGAACTATATTTTCAAATCATAACAATTCTTTTTCAGAAAGCTTGTATTTGTTAGATCAGTGTTCATTCTTTGGCTGAGTAATACCACAGTTATTTTAAGTCTGTGATGTGGCAGTCATACTTTGTATTCAGATTTCCAAAATGAATGAAGTTTGATTTACTGTGCATATAGTTTTGCTGCTTTTGGGTAGTGTAATGACAAAGTTTGCATCTTAAAAATCAGAAATTTTAAAAGGTAAATGTGTTATAGTTTGTTAAAAAATTCAAATTTTGATAAGCACATTACACATAATATGTTCATTTTTATGTAATCACATAAAATAGATCTGTAAAAGTTTCTCCCTTGATTTTATCTTTACACTGGATATATTCTTTTAGGGAAGTGAATGGTCAGCATAAGTTTACTCAACATCCAAGTAACCATAAAGTAATTTGTTATTTTTAAACAAAATGTACATTTCATAATGCCACTGCTAGAGCATTATGAGATCGTGAATGTTTCTTTAATCATCACAGAAAGCATACCTCATGTTCAGTGTAATTTTAGTTGTTTGTATCTTACAGTATTCACATTATGCCAATATCTGTGATCCTGATATGTCACCTGTGATAGCTTTGTTACTTGGAATATTTGATTAATGCAAATACTTTATTTTTTTTTGAGTAATTTGGAGTTAAACAGGTTACATTTATTATGTTTTGTTTTTGTTGAAAAGATAGTGTTGGGCATACCATATAAAGGTTAGTATTGGCTTATAAATACCAGAGATTGCCATAGTACTTTCTCCTCAGACTACTCAATTAAATTAAAACAGTATTTACTATTTCTGGGTCAGTATAAGGTAATAACTTTTGATTTATAACCATTTGAGCTATGTTAGTTTAAACTACATATTTTCTTAATGGCACCCATTCAGTAAAAGCTGGTCCTTTGGAATAGACATACATAAGATTTCACAGTATGTAGGGCAGAAGGTAGGTGAATGTGTTGTTCACTTTGGCTTGGAGCTTAAGTTTAGACCTTTTTTTTTTTAAGTCAAAATGTAAGTAATTGGTAAAAGGCATTTCTATTCATATTGGAACTTTTTGGAGAGCCTAAGGGCTATGAGAATAATGTGTTTTGTTTTTGTTTTTTTGTTTAACCTTCCCAATATCTCTTAGGTACCAAAGCACTGAGTCTAGTTTACCTTTTAAGGGAGACTCTTTAAAATCAAATTGATACCTAACTCATACTATAGATAAATAATAGCTAAAGTTTTAAAGTAATTTATATTAAAAACCACTAGTCTTTAAAATTTCTCAATATAAAAACATTTGGCTTCATTTTTTAAAAAGTATTTAAAATTAATCACCTTAGCTCTACCATACACTAGATCTATATCCTCTATATAAATCATTTCTCATCTTTGGGCATCCATTGCCTCACATCTTACTCAGCCTACCTCACAGGGCTGTTGTGAGGAACAAAATGAAATGGAGTATATGAAATTGCTTCAACAACAGTAAAATGCTACATAAATGTAAGGGATTATTTTCAGTTAATAATGGATTTAAATGTTTGGATATTTCTAGATGCCATTTACTTTGATAAAGCATGTACTTAAAGTGGTATCACTAGGACTTTAAACATGATTTAAAAAAACAAACAAAACCCTGACTACAGTGCCCTTTAACATTCTTTCGTTTGCATGATGTGGCTTTTTTGTATTTTCTCATTAGGCCTGTACTCTGTATCAACTTTCTATAACTGTAAAATGTCTCCCACAGCATTAGTGTGTGTTGCTGTAGAATAGTAGCATAAATAAATGATCTAAGCTATGCTTCCATCCAGGCATTTGCACTTTCAGTTTATGACTCTTCAGTGCCACGTATGCAAAGACTGAATTTGGCCTAAATAATTATTTCCAAGCAACCAAATGGTTAAAGTTTGTTGTCATTGGATAAGTGATTTAAGGTGTATGTGCCCATTTAACATTAGACTTTTGTTGCATTGTCATTAAAAAAAAAAAACCAAACATGAACCTGGATATCATTTAGTGTCTCTCCTAAGAAAAACTGTTTTGCTTTAAATTGGATTTATTAAATGGTTTACATGTTATCTTTATTTATAGATTATTTGGTATGTTATCATCTGGACATGGTTTTGCTATGCAGTTCTGATAATCAAAATCCTAATTCCTCAGGTTAAAATTTTAAGTTGTGGATGAAAAACATGAACTACTTATAATACACTCAGTGCTGCAAACTAGTGTTTTAAAACACATATTGCCTCATTTTCCTTGGAAACAAGACAAAGCCTTTTAAATGATTTTTAACTTTAAAATAGTGTCTTCAAAGTGGAGTAATTTGTACGTTGAAATGATTGTGTGCTCTGTGTAGAATGACCAAGTTAAATTCTTACAAAAGCACCTGGAATATCTCATCTAAAAATTAAACTACTTTTTCTGCTTTCTTTGGCTTCAGTGCGTGCATTTTATCAGTTCTCATTAAAAATATACAATGTGCTTTTGAGGATGACAAGATAAAAAAAGTCATAGTTCCTTTGCACCCAAAGGGGCACTACTTTCAACAGAATTTCATGCAATGATGGAAAGTTCTATGTAGCTGCCGTTTTAGGACAGTGCAGCTATTGATGGAAGGTGAAACATGCTTGAAGTTAGGGACTTTGGAGCTTGTCACATCTCAGGTTGCAGGTCGATGGTAGCTAAGAGTAAGAACTAGAACCTAAAACTTAAAATGTGTTTTCTAACATTAAATCAATTTAGGAGAAAAAAGAAAACCAATCAGTGGCTAGATGAAGCTGGAGCTCCTGTAACTAAGATCATTTTCACCAAGAGAAGAATGAAGGGGAACTAGATAGTCTTGAGTCATGGAGAGAGGAGTGTGATAAAGATATTGAGAAACCAGTAGCCTCATATTAAAGATGAAGGGTGGATTGCTGCAAGATTTCTGGAGAACAATTTAGCAATAGCGAGAGTTTAAATACACTTACCTTTGACAATGTAATTCCATTTCTAGGTATTTCTCATATATATACTCACTATGATGGCAAATACAAGCAAACTAATTGTTAACTGAAAAAAGAATGGGCGACTTGTATTCCGAAGGCTCCCCTTTTCTGACTTGCTGCAGTAGCAAGCTCCTGTTGCTATGTATTTGTTCAGGTATATTCTGCCTGTCATCGTCCCCCACCCCCAATCCATAAATGTTAGAAATATGTAGACCATTATGGGAAGTGCTATCCCTGGCTGGATCTCTGTGGGATAAGAGCTCAGGAAATTGTGTGCCCTCTACTTTTCTGTTTCCCTTACTACGGCCTATTTCATAGTTACACCACATGGTACTAGTAGTATATTTATGCTCCTTTTGCAGAAGGTTGCTGGGATGATTAGATTGTGGAATTTTCAAGAAACTTTACACAGCTGTTACAGAATATGCTGTTAATGGAAGAGTATTCATGATATGAAATGGAAAAAGCAAGTCTAACAGTATGTGT